GGTAGCAGTGGGAAAACACGTCTACCAAATATCAAAAAAATATACCAGGTAATTCGTATGCCCTGAGCCTTTAATGAAAGGACCAGAATTGATAAAACACCCTATATCTCGATAATGAAACATGTAAGACCCAACATATATGGTATATTCAGAACCACCTTGGTCACCTCTATCCACCGTTAAAGTATTTCCGTTTCCCAACGGAACACCCTGTATATGAAAATAATCATGTTTCGAAAGCAGTTTCTTACTGAATTTTCAAAAATATTGAAAACTGTCAATTCCTGTGAATGGAACAATCCATAGCTTTCAGGCTCTCCAAACTGAGGAAAGAATGGAATAAAAAAATCCAGGTCCGGATTTGAAAACGTCAAAACGAAGAAGAAGTTACTGAAGCGTAGACACAATATAATAAGGTATCACAACTAAAAGGATTTTCATACCCTCAAAGGCAAATATCTAGGAAATATCTCGGAAACAAAACAAAAGTTGATCAATAATTCACACTTGGATACATTTTCAATTGAGATATATCGTGTCAAATATTAATCACGCCTTAAATATATCTGTTGGCTTTTGATATAGTAAAAAACTGTTAGTAAAGATAAAAAGTGAATAAGTGACTGTCCGTCGAACAATAAGATTTATCACCCTCTCATAAAAGTACGACATCTAATTAAAAAGTCAAACATTTAAGCCTTACAGAAATCCAAGAATTGAACCAGCATGTTCTGTACCCAATCGAACTCCTGTGGAGTCTCAAGAATATGCAGCGGCGTCCGCATGAACAGAAACTTTCCTTGAGTATCGAGCGGAAAACATAAAAATTCCCAGATGAATATAAAAAAATGGAAAATTATTAAAACCCACACACGCAAACCCACAGACAGTTCTATACAAGAATAAAAAATCTGTATTATCGTGTATAAAATATTTTTTTTACTCACATGACTAAAATGGCATTTATCGTACGGATATGTACCACGCTAAATGATCGATTAATCACGGATTGTCGATCTGTGATTTATTCAAAATATTAAACACGTTACCATGGCAACACGATTTCTTAAACACATCACCATGGCAACGCAGTTCATTAAACACAGCTTCAGTAATTCGAGACATCTCTGGCCTGTCAATTGTATTAACTGTCAACTGTTATTTTCATATTTTGTATCAGAATTATTCAAACAATATTCGTTTGTATCGGAATTCTTCATTAAAAATATATGCGAAAAGTAGACGAGAGTGAAATCGAAGAGAATGTTCAGGTACTTACATACCTCCAAGAAGTGTAAAAATGAAACATCCATCTTTGAGAACAATTTATTTATTCTGCGCTAAGCATGACAATAAACGTGAAACAAAGGTTAGTAAGCAATGGACTGGACAGATCTACAACCAATATCACTTATACGTGTCTCGCTGGTTGCATGCAGTTGTATGTATTATGTTTTCAATTCCTATTCCTTTCGAATTATTTTGTAGGTTAGCAGGAATAGCCTAGGTATGTTAATTAATGTAATTTTTGGAGTTCGTAGAAAAATCATAGTATGTAACGCGTTTATAAACTCTTCTAGACACTCGTTTATTAAACACTCGCTCCGCTCTGCTCCGCTCGTGCTTAAACTACTCGTTACTGAAAGGACGTTTATAACACTTGTTACATAATATACTATTATTCTGATATAGTTGGTATAAGGGTTGAAGATGTCTCACATGTGAATTCGAAACAACTCCCTGATGATTCGCTATCACGGTTGTGAGTTTCCTCCATCGTTTGTTATTACGTACTGTGACTATTATAACTTCTACTTAGATAGATTAAATTATAGTTGGACATGTTGTTTAAATGTAATACAGTACTATAACATACCTATTGCAAGGTGAATTCAACAAAAATATAATACCTTATCTAGTATTCACTCAACGTTACTGATTCATGATTCTCATAATGTTGGAGTTTGGTTCAGATGAAGCTACTTAGAGCTAAATTTCCATCAAAATTTCACGATATATTCAAGAATCCAGTTGACGTTATACTAACTTATTTGTAACTTTGTATCAATGATTAGTCCAATAAATAAAGGGAAAAAGTTAACATTAATTACGCACTATTTTCATCTTCCGGTTGGAAGTAGCTTTTGGTACCTCATTAAACATGAGACAAAGTTTGACTGGAAAACGCGTGCGATGGCGGAGTAAATGGCCCCAAGAGACCAGAAAAATAGGTTTTCAGCCAATATATCCTAAAATATGGCAGTTAGAGATTTTCGGTTCAGATATAAATTGAAGTTCAGTTAATTCTCTACAAAAATTGTCCTTATCATTTTTCTCGAAAATTCGCCCGGTTCCGAGAAAAACGGCACGAAGCGCATCTCGAATAATGAGCTTCTGTGTTGTATGCCGGAGAGCACAGTCCGTGTATTTACACATCGGCGGGGGGATAAATTATTCAATAACTTTGTCAAAAATGCATATTTTCTCATGATTCAAAGTTCATGTGAAAGAGGAATTCTGCTGCTATCATACCCTGTGAATTGAGTCACGCTTGACTCTTTTGGCCATATCGGAACATGGGTCAAACTTTCTGCTCCTGGTCAATTTTGACCTCGCCAGGAATTTGTCCTTATTTTTTTATATTGCACTAATTTGCTCAAAATTCTCTTGATTATGGGTCCTCATAAGGTCCTTTGTCATCCCTGAAATTTGTATACCCTGATTTTTTTAAATTTTCATTTAATCTTTGTTTATTGAATCCCAATTTTTTGCTGTTTTAGATATGACATCGCAAAAACCATTCCTTAAAAATCGTGTCCAAATTCAACATCGCAGTTTATATTCCACTGACAAATATTTGAAAGCTAGAATTCCATGTCTAAGAAAACCTGGTGAAGTGTTCAAAATGTTTGAAGAAAATTACGAAATGTGAATGTCCATAAGACATGTACTGTTGGATTATAGATCAAACAACCCCGATAGCACACAACACATATTCTCATTCTTCAGCAAATATTCCATGAACATTCAATTTGACATATTCCCAGAATATTCTTTTATCTTATCAAAATATGATATTGATGTATTTCTTGTATCAATATTCGAAACGTTTCCCCTGACCCAAACCATTTTGACTCTAGCCTCCATATCTTGCTATTCATATTGTTCATCTATAAGGTTCGTAGCGCAGTGAAAAAGGTGTTAGGTTAGAAAAAAGTCAAGAAGGTTCGCATCTCCACCGAAGCAAGCTTTTTTAATTCCCTTCCATTTGAAATTGTTCTTAAATTGTTATAACCGTCATTCGGTAGCCCGAACACTTGGGCCATCAGAAAAATTCAGAGAAATTCAGATATTCTAGAAGAATATCCTTTGAACGTTCTTTAAATTACATTGTGCTGTCTGAGAATGGATGCATTAGACGACAATTGAAGAAATAAAAGAAATGGCATTAATAACCATCATCAGGTCCAAAATTATCATTGTAAATGATTTTAAGAAGTATTGAGCACAAAATGATGCGAATGCCTTCAAAAAGTACCAGATATAATTCAATCTCACTTCTACTAACTAAACGTTGATACAATATAAAGGCGGATTTATGCACAGCGCTTTTTCAATAATAAGTTAAAACTTGAAATTCCCGTTCATTCATTTAAGCACCTGAATTGAATTGTATCTTTCATTAACTATGCACTATGAGATGACCAACTTTTATCTCTTAACGAAAAATACAACTGTGACTTGCGCAGGCGCGGTTCTGTCAGAAGTCAGACAAACAATTGCTTCCTCTTCTCATTCCAAAATGTGGTTGGAAATTCAGTAAATTTTAGTCGTATTTTTATGTTCTGGTTCCCACGAAGAGGGATATCCTGTAATGTTCAGAGAACATCGTGAGGAACAAGGGAAATAAGGTAGGAATTGGTGTTCTTCTTAAATTTCTGGAGGTTATATGTCTCGGGAAACGCCTCCCTTGGCAATGTATTCCAGAGCCTTGCTGTTCGTTGGATGAACGAGTCTTTGGAAAGAGATGTTCTGCTGCGAAGCCTCAACTCGTCGGGTTAATCTCGCGGGGACTGCCAAGGGAGGAACAATTGTTGATATTCCAGAAGAGCATCGTCCATGAAAATATCTATAAAATAGAGCCAGATCGACAACTTTTCTACGGTGTTCCAGAGAAATGAGTGAGTTTATGAGCGAGGCATCACCCACGAGACGAATTGTCCTTTTTTGGACAGAATCCAACAGTTTCAGGGTATGTTTGGGTGCTGCACTCCAAATATGGGAACAGTATTCCAGGACAGGTCGGATCTGTGCCTTATAGATCATAAGCAGCTGACTGGAAGTGAAACAGCTCCTGGCACGAAACAGAAAACCAAGTTTTTGGAATGCACTTTTAGCAATTGACCTCACGTGATTTTCCCAAGAAATGTTATTGCTATTATAGTAATACCAAGCCAAAGATCAAAATGGATGTCTTCAAAGGTATGGTTACTCCTGACATGCTTATGTTTGGCACAGTGAGATCGGCTTTTCTAGCGAAAAGGCATGCTTGTGTTTTGTTTGCATTGAAATCTACCAAGTTATTGGATCCCCATTCGAGAATTGTTGCCAAGTCCATATTTATGTTGTAAAAATTATGTAATCACTGAATGTTATAAGAAAAAGAGTTTAAAATTTAAAAAAAGGTGGTGCATCAGAGTATCATAGGCCTTAAATGAAACTAAACTTAATGGCAGTTAATGAAAGCAACACATTAGTGAAAAAGCAGTGTGCATAAATCCACCTTGAGTACAAGACATTTCTAGCAGATCAAATAAACACAAAGTTATTTGATTTTGGTAGAAAAGGTATGCCTGGGATGTCTACCCTCCACCACATTGACATTTTCTGAAATTCCGGCGCCACTGTCAAATTCAACAATCCAAAAAGGCAGAATACCAATGGGCCGAGCTCGGAGCCATTCGAACATTCGGCAGTGGAACACACAGAAGAAAGCTTGAAGTCTGTATTTGTGTTGGCACTGTTGCCATGTGCTGAGTAACAGTCGTATTTACAATTCAAATTTCGCGGTCCGGTTTAGGTCAGTCTCAAAATGTTGTGGTTGTGTTGGATCGTATTTTTGGGTAAGCGTACATTATCAGACATTACATTTGCACACTTCCAGAAATATTGCAGAAAAATCGTATTTGTATATTGCAATTCCAATATTCAGAAATGTTGCTGCAATGTCTCTATTTTTATTGAAGTCCATTGACAAATTTATTTTTTCTACAAACGTCAAAAAATTACAAATTGCGAAGTGACACTTTTCTTCAGTTTCCTACGTTACCATGATAGTAGGTACCTACTTCGCGCATTGTTATGTAGAATATATGAGATATTTATATTTCAACTTTATGGTCCTCAATCGAGCAAACATCCGCGAAATCATTTATTTCTGAATGTTCAACAATATCTTTGTTTTATCTCTTAGAGCGCACGAAAGGAAATTCCTATTATGTTCGTGGAACATCGTGCGTAGGGAGGATAGAGGGAGGCCTTTTAAGCTATTTCAACACTATTTTTTATATGAAGCTAAGCATATTTTTACTTTAGAACTATATTTTCTGACGTTTGTTGAAAAAAGTTTGCTTGCAACTCGAGCGCGAAATACTTTGGTCATCTCGACTATTTTTTTAATTCGGCTACGCCTCGTTAAACAAATCATCTTTATCTTATCTAATTATATCGATTACCAAAGTAGCATTTTGCGCTCTAGATACAAAAATAACTATTCATTTTACTTGATTTTTTGTGATTTTGTCTCCTCGTTTCTATTAAATAAAATTATGCGTATTATTTCAATATATTTGTAGTGGAGCGGAACAGATGATTTGCCCCAAAATGTCACTGCGTTTAAAAAATTTCTCCATCAGAGAGTCTAAAAGAAAAATCCTCGGAAAAATCCATTAGCTTGTCAGTGATAATTTGTTTGAAATATGCGAGGAAAAATGTTTGAAGGAAAGAAATAAAGATATGTTGAAAAAATATCGAATTTTTACTTATCTATATTTCTTTCCTTCAAATATTTTTCAAACAAATTGTCACTGACAAGCTACTGGATTTTTCTTTCAGACTCTCTGATAAAAATTTTTGTTGAACGCGGTGACAGGCAAATCATCTAATGTCTCCCACTTTATACAAATATATTGAAATAATAAACATATTTTTATTTTATAGAACCGAGGAGAGAAAATCCCAAAAAATCAAGCCTCCTTGATTAACCTACAGAGAGTATAATAATATAATATGGTTTCTGAAATTTTAATGAAATATCCTGTAACTCAGACACGAGAAACATTTTATCTAGTTGATTTGGGTTAAAGTTTCATATTTTGAGCTCAGGATTCGGAAGTTTTTTTATTTTCTGGTTCCCACGAAAAGGGATATCCTGTAATTTTCAGAGAACATTGTGAGAATCGAGGGAAATAAGGTAGGAATTGGTGTTCTTCTTAAATTTCTGGAGGTTATATGCCTCGGTGAACACCTTCCTTGGCAATGTGTTCCAGAGCCTCGCTGTTCATTGGATGAACGAGTCTTTGGAAAGAGATGTTGAAGTATTTCCAATTGATAATGAAACACCCTGATTTATACCACTTGTTGGAACTTGGTCAACCTATTTGAATTTTATTGTCCTCATATAATTCTCACTATTTAAGTAATCCAGGCTTCTCTATTCTGACTCTCCATATTTTTCTATAGAAAATAATGCATTGCAAGCAATAAAAGCAGAGTTGGAATAAGTCATGACTTTTATAAAAAGGTCATCAAAGTCCGACTTTTTAAATTAAGTCAGACTTTTTTGAATTAATTCATTTAAAAAAAAAAACAAACAAATTTCATTCACCCAAAGCGAAATAGAAAAAAAGAAACAAAAAAACTATGTTTTTATTCCTTTCAGAAATCTTGTAGAATAACATAATATAACATGTCATTTTTTCAAAACAAAATTAAAAGTGATGATAGAATACAAAATAATGGATACATATAGATCCAGTATCATCCATAAAGTTCGTAACACATGGAGAAAAAGTTTATTAGTAGAATATTGAAACATTTTTTCTCGGGGATCTATTATGCATGTCTGACTACTTAAAAGTCGATTTTGACACATGTCACTTGATCACTGGTATGACGGTAAATTCAAAAAATTACGATGGCAAAAAGTGGGGTTAGATGGGAAGATGAAGTTATTAAAAAAAAATAGCTATTTTCAGTTTTCTCAAATAAAGGCTGGAAACTCCATATGTCAGCATGAAATTGAATTCTATTCAACTTGTACATCATCAACATCACTACTGTCAAAAAAAAAAAAGAGAATTGTAACAAAATTGAAGAATATTCGAAAAAATATAGCTATTTCCAATTCTCCTCCAAAAATTGCTCGAAACTAAATGTGGAATAGCAACTTATAATAAGAAATATTTATGGATATTCTGTTATCTTACCTCACTTTTCGTCGCTTTATAGTTTATAGTATTATTTTTATTTATCACCATACCAGTGATCACGTGACATGTGTCAAAATCGATTTTCAAGTTATCGGATATGCATAATGGATCGCCGAGAGAAAAAAATTCGATGCTGTGATAATAAACCTGTTCTCATATGTTATGGACTTTATGGATGATACTTGATACTGTATATATCTGTAAGTAAAAATCTCTGTCATGCTTGAAATAACAAAGTCTTGCCAAAATACGATCGAATTTTTCAGTTTAAACAAGTTAAAATCAAAGGTAATTGTGCAATTTGTCTCATTTTTAAAACTTTGAATGAATTCATGACTTTTTCGAAAAAAGTCAGTGGAATTAATTCACGAATTAAATCACTGATTTAATTCATATGAATTAATTCATGCCAACCCTGAATAAAAGTAATATTTTTAGGGTTCCTTCTCGTTGTGTAGTCGAATTACGCAATTCGAACATTTTTGACAGTTTCGAAATGATTTACAGCTCAACAGTCCAGATGAATGTCTGTCATCTTGTAACACCCTCTACTCATATAACCATAAATCAGTCGTAAACTACCCTAAGATGTCTGGTTCTTTAGTGTTTGAAATATCCTGTCGCTTCAGATTTCACTTCTCAGTATCGGCCTCAAAGCAATTCAGAGGTCTTGAGCTAACTTAGCTTATAGTTATTTACTTTTTCGAAATTAATCTACTGGGTGTTTCCAAATTCGACCGACAACACTTGACGGGGATACTCAAGAATGATTGAATATTTTCGCTATATTGTTTCATCTTCGAATGTTCAATGTCATTGTTGAAAAGGAATATTCTCAGATAAATTATAAACATACAAAAATGGATATACAGGGTGTTTCAAAAAAACCTGACCCCCTTGCTAGGGTAGGTAGAACACTGCAAAATAAGTTGGGTTTGCTCAGTGAAAAAATGTCGTAACGGCATCTGTTTTCAAGATACAAGGTGTTGAAAAAATTATTTTTTTACACATTTCTCACGATTATGTCGAAACTACTGGCACCATTGTGATGAAATTTTGTATGAGTGTTCCTTGAAATCTGACACATCACATGAATTTGTTTTTATATCTGACTTTGATAGAGGGCGCGAGTTACACGTTTCGTACCGAGTAGTTTAGATCATAACTTTTTTGAGGTTAGATTTTTCAATCCAAATATGATATCAACTTGAACATCATTCAATTTTACATCAAAAAGGTACACTTGGTGAAACTCGATACAATGTTCCGTTTTCGGAATATTTCGATTTGAAAATAATGGAGCAATAGCTATGCTGGTATAAAATGAATATTATTGAGTTCAATTACCTATCTATTCAGATTCAAAAACAATAAGATCATTCTTGCACTGGAGTTATTGATGGAACAAAGAGTCATAAGTAGTAAATCAAGAGATATTTGACTAGAAACATGAAATATTGAATCAGTTAGTGTAAGTGTTCAAAATGTCCTACGTTTCGACGAATACACGATTCTAATTTCTTTTCTTGAGAATGTATTATTCTTTTAAACAGTTGAGAATCAGCTGTTAGGTCATTTGAGTGATGTACAATTATGTCTTACAACTCTTGACGTGAATTTACCTATGTAGCATAAACTTTCAAATCGAAATATTCTGAAAACGGTACACAGTATCGAGTTTTACCAAGAGTACATTTTTGGTTTTAAATTGAATGATGTCTAAGTTCACATCAAATTTGGATCGAAAAATCTAACCTCAAATAAGTTATGTTCAAAACTACTTGGTACGAACCGTGTAACTAGCGCCCTCTATGAGAGTCAGATATAAAAACGAATGCATACGATGTGTCAGATTCCAAGAAACATCCATACAAAATTTCATCACAATGGTGCCAGTAGTTTCGACAAAATCTTGAAAAATGTGTAAAAAAAATATTTTTTCAACACCTTGTATCTTGATAACGGATGCCGTTACGAAATTTTCTTACTAAGTAAACCCAACTTATTTTGCAGTGTTCTACCTACCCTTGTTAGGGGGTCAGGTTTTTTTGAAACACCTTGTATATTAATATGAAGCAATACATTGAGAATTCGCATTCTCTATGTGATGAAAATATCAACTCTTTTTCAGTTTATTCAATAGAAAACACCTACTTTCCTGGCTATATGCCACGACGAACATTGAAAAGGAATAGTCTCAATGTATTGCTTTATATTAATATATATATCCATTTTTGTATGTTCATAATTTACCTGAGAATATTCTTTTCTAACACTTTCATACCCAATCAGGTGGTTCAAACTTGAACGATTGAAACTTGTTGTTAGTGGCTTAGAAAATATGAGAGAAAGAGTAACCAAAACCACTTATAGCACTCCACTGGATGAAATATCCAGAATGACTTTCTGCTCAAAAAATGACCCATTCGGAAATTTATTCATGTACCGAATTTGAATGAATTTTTTAGGTATTCGGAAAACTATTTATATTTTTCAAATTCAACACCCTGTATCTCGAGAACTGAATAATAGAAGACCGTATGTCTTTATCTCAGTACATCAAATAACGAGGGCTATCACTTGTCAATAAGCGTTGTCGATCGAATTTCCAAACACCCTGTATAGGTGATCATTGTGGATGCGGTCCTGGAATTCCATGCTCCCAATCGCCATAAATCTGAAACGGCTTTCTCGTTCGAAAAGGTGAATTTAATAGAATCTTGAAAAGAAACCAGACCCCTTGTTGGTCTGTGAGTACCAGAAAATCGATCTGCTCACATTGGTTTATAGTTTGAAAAGAAATATTCTCAGATATAATTATGAACATGGAAATATGGATATATATAAGTATAAAAAAGTACATTGAGAATTCGCATTCTTCCTCGGTTTATTCAACAGAAACAACTGAGTACTTTCCTGGCTATATGCCACGACGAACATTGAATTAAATCTATTGAACATGCACGATTAAATTTTTTGAAATAAATCTTCTAAAGTTGAGAATCTGCCAAATGACAGGTATTGAATGTCAACAATAATGCTCAGATGTCAGTTCCGTTATAGTTATATTATAGAGAGATGAAAATTGTGTATATATCGTGAAGAATGGCTGAAAGATAACTGCATGGACTTCAGGTTTTTGAGGAGGGTTTGAAATCCGAAATGAGTTGATTCGAATTAAGTCATATACCTAAACTGTTTGTGAGATATATAATGGCCATATCACTGATACGAATGGTTTTTTTGGAAGTTACAAGCTCATCAAGATCTTCGTTTATACAAGTTTACTTCTCCTATACATTTCAATTTTCATTTCAATACTGAACATATTGGTGGGTTATATTTTTATCAAATTTGAGAGATCATCAGTTTCAAAGGATTTTAATTTTTCATGCTCTCTTTTTGGATGTTCAGGAGATATAATTCAATGTTCGAAGTGGCAAATAGCCAGGAAAGTAGATGTTTTCTGTTAAATATATAGAATGATTTTAAGTGCAAATACATATTTTCATCTGAAGGAGAATGCAAATTCTCAACTTTAGAAGATCTATTTATCAAATTCTTATCGCGTGTGTTCAATAGATATGATCCAATAATGTTCGTCGTGGCATATGGCCAGGAAATTAGTTGTTTTATGTCGAATAAATCGAGTAAGAATTGATATTTTCATCTCCTAGAGAATGCGAATTCTCAATGTATTTCTTTATATATCTATATCCATTTTTTTCTGTTCATAATTTATCTGAGAATATTCCTTTTCAATGCTTTCACCCAATCAATATGGGTTCAAACTTGAACGATAGAAACATGTTATTTTAATAGACCTTCAATCGCAGATTCGTGATTATGTTTTCTCAATTTAGAATTTCTTCCCACGTCCTGTTTGGTGAACCAATTATTGTTTCCTTATAGTCCAATAAATGAAGTAGGAAAAAAAGGCAAAGTTAACGTTAATTACGCACTATTTTCATCTTCTGGTTGGAAGTAGTTTCTGGTACCTCATTAAACATGAGACAAAGTTTGACTGGAAAACGTGTGCAATGGCGGAGAAAATGGCCCCAAAAGACCAGGAAAATAGGTTTTCAGCCAATATCTCCTAAAATATGGCAGTTAGAGATTTTTGGTTCAGCTAAAAATTGAAGTTCAGTTAATTTTCTACAAAAATGGTCCTCATCATTTTTCTCGAAAATTTGCCTGGTTTCGAGAAAAACGGCACGAAGCGCACCTCGAATAATGAGCTTCTGCTGTATGCCGGAGAGCACAGTCCGTGTATTTACACATCGGCGGGGGGACACATTATTCAATAACATTGTTAAAAATGCATATTTTCTCATGATTAAAAGTTCATGTGACAGAAGAATTCTGCTGCTATCATACCTGCGTGGCCGCATGGTTTGTAGCAGACAACCCGAGCGCCACGTATAGTACACAAGCGGCGAACGACGGAGGAACGAAAGTAATAAATTATAGCGTGTACTTTAGATACACTGGTTTTTTCCCGGGATATCAAAGGTATGACTTATATACATCGATGGAAAGGTGGGAATTCCCCCGTTACACTAGTTAAGGTGTTAAAATGTTAGAAATGAAGAGCACGGAGAAAAAAACCACCGAAAAAAAAGTGCATTTTTTCCTTGACCCCGCTTTTTCTAATTTTATTGAAAAATGGACGAATTCGTCTAAAAAAGTAATTGCACAATCGGAAAGTAGATCTTCTTAGCTTTCAAATGATGTATCATAGAAACCAATCGGATCATGTATAAATTTTTGATTGATGGTTGTTCACAAAATTTCCCCGCGCTCCAAAAACAGCAAAAAATTGGGATTCAATAAACAAAGATTAAATGAAAATTAAAAGAAATTAGGGTATACAAATTTCAGGGATGACAAAGGACCTCATGAGGACCCATAATCAAGAAAATTTTGAGTAAATTAGTGCAATACAAAAAAAATAGGAACAAATCCCTGGCGAGGTCAAAATTGAACGGGAGCAGAAAGTTTGACCCATGTTCCGATATCGCCAAAAGAGTCAAGCGTGACTCAATTCACAGGGTATGATAGCAGCAGAATTCCTCTTTCACATGAACTTCGAATCATGAGAAAATATGCATTTTTAACAAAGTAATTGAATAATTTGTCCCTCCGCCGATGTGTAAATACACGGACTGTGCTCTCCGGCATACAACAGAAGCTCATTATTCGAGGTGCGCTTTGTGCCGTTTTTCTCGAAACCGGCAAATTTTCGAGAAAAATGATATGGATCATTTTTGTAGAAAATTAACTGAACTTCAGTTTTTATCCGAACCGAAAATCTCTAACTGCCAAATTTTAGGAGATATTGGCTGAAAACCTATTTTTCTGGTCTTTTGGGGCCATTTTCTCCGCCATCGCACGCGTTTTTCAGTCAAACTTTGTCTCATGTTTAATGAGATATCAAAAGCTACGAACTTTTTCCCTTTATTTATTGGACTATTAGTTTTTCAGACAATTATTTATTTCAAATATGGAATTATGGTAGGTAATTGGGATTTTCTAAGCTTCCCTCGAAGCTTCCAAACCAAATGCAATTCAATAAAACATTATTTCAATTTTCAATTTGTCATGCATGATGCATTTTGCTGACGGAAGTGGAACTTCCGCAGTACATTTCTCAAAATCCCCAACAGTTCATTATCTCAACTGATTTTTCCTGGTAGAGCGTGAGTGTTGAAACAAGAAGTATTATTTATCCTTCTAATTGGTGTAGCTGTCAAATCGGTGAAATAATAAGTACGTCTGCTGGAAATAGTCAAAGCAAACAGTCGAGCCAGTTTGGTTTTTCTTTTGGTTCAACGTTAAACGTAAATGTTGAATGTTTATAGGTGCCACATGTGCACACTGCTGTTTCTTGAGAAAACATTGAAAAAAAAAGGTTCCTGCGAAGGCACTGAAACGGCCATTATGCGTAAAGAATTCGATAATTTAATTTAAATGTGCATATATATTTTGATAATTGAGGTTATACCGTGTGTCACAGGGTATCGGGCCACCCCTGTAACTTCTGCATTCGTCAACGGATTTTTTTGAAATTCGGTACAGTTATATAAGCAATTATTTCGGATTTGATCACATTACAATCCAATATGGCGGACTTCCGGTATTTCTGGAAATGCCAGCAACTTTGTTTTTTCAAATGAAACACCCTGTATATTTTTACATATTCAAGTTCAACAGGTCGAAACAAGTGCAATCTCTATTTAAAATGTAATTTTTTTCGAAAAAATTTAAATTAAAATTGTTTTTTCATTTTACCTCGTGGATAAATGAGATGTGGTCAAGACTATTCACAATGAGTCACACATAACAGGAGAACATAATTTTTCCTGGAAAATTATTTTTTGTGCCACTTATCCAGGAATCAAGTCAGCCACATCACTTTTTGATAAAAAATAATATTTTTCAAATGGAACTCCTATGATGGGCCAACTACCCGTCTCTCTAGAACATACATTAAAGAACAAAATGACATATCATTTTTGTTTTTCGGTGCAGTAAAAAATTGTATACATTCAAAAATCAACAACTAGTTTATGAATTTTCTTGCAGTTAGAATAATTTTTCAACTAGGTAGGCTGTGGAATAAATGACATTTGACATCAAGATTGCACTTGTTTTTACCTGTTGAACTTGAATATGTAAAAATATACAGGGTGTTCCATTTGAAAAAACAAAATTGCTGGCATTTCCAGAAAAACCGGAAGTCCGCCATATTGGATTTTAATGTGATAAAATCCGAAATAGTTGCTTATATAACTGTACCGAATTTCAGAAAAATCCGTTGACGAATGCAAAAGTTACAGGGGTGGCCCGATAACCTGTGTCACCCGGTATAAGTAGCTTAACTAACATGAATGCATTAACTTTTTGATAAAATATATGCTGTAATAGGTATGCATGTACATTCACCTAAACTTAATTTTTTTTTTCAGTTGGTGTCCACATATCAAGTACCTCTCAGTGTGGAAAACTGTCAACACTGGCATCTTTTGAAGACCACAAAACCATAGTCGAAACAAGTTTGAATCTTTTGGCAGGATCATGGATATCAGAAGGGTAAGAAAATCTTTAGATTTATCTAGTTAACTGAATGATACACATAGGAATGATCTACACAGAGTGAATTATTACTTAGGGTTGCCTATATTCATTTCAGTGGATTGTCTCCACCAACTTGAAGTTGAAATAGGGCAAAAGAAACATGTACAAAACTAAATACTGTCTGTAGGTTAATCGTACATTCATTATTCCAGATTTTTTGGGATTTCCTCTCCTCGTTTCTATAAAATGAAAACATGAATATTATTCCAATATACGTGTAATAAGGACAAATCAGATGATTTGCCCCCAAAATGTCACTGCGTTTAAAGGTTTTTCCTATCAGAGAGCCTAGAAGAAAAATTCACCAGCTTGTCAGTGACATTTTGTATTGAAATAAGTTTGGAGAAGAGAAATAAAGATATATAAAAAAAATTTCCAATTTTTACTTAGCTTTGGACTTTTCGGAAACGAATCTGCTCCCGTTTTCAACATGATGATTTTTAGTATCACAAATTCGTATTTGTCCTGACAATTTCCAGTTCTCAGTGACAATTGATAGAGTTGGCAATCAAATGAGTTACAGGATGTTTTCATAAATTAATCTCGAATTAACCATTTTCATTTTCAGATATCAATAGTGAATACCATGTTCTATCTATATCATCTGAACAGGAAGCAATGCTATTGTCTCCGTTCAGAAGAATGCAAGCAGATTCCTTGATTAATCTCTTCTGGTTGTCATCTTCTTTTCCAATTATTTTAATATTATTCCACTCTGCCATATGTTGTACATCTTCAGTAGTGATATGTTCAGCTAGTCTCGATTTGTCGATGTGTCTTTTCTTTAAATTGTATTTTTGTTCCTTCGACCTTACCGAAAGAGGTCTCTTGGTTTCGCCTGTATAAAACTTTCCACAAACACAAAGTATACTGTATTTTTTGACGATTGTTCTTCATTTTCCGGTTTTGTTTGAGTTAGAATTGATCTCATTGTATTTTCAGTTTTGAACACCTTTTTCACTTGAAATTTATCAACAACACGTTTTATTTTTTTAGATATACCGAGAATATACGGTATTATATTTGTCGTTATTGATGGTTGATTTTGTTGTGGTGAACCTTGTTTGTTTTCAATTAGATGAATCCTTTTATCGACAAAATTCTTTGGATAGTAGTTGAGTTGGAGAACATTTTTAATGTAGTGGACTTCGTTATTGAAAATTTGTTGGTCAGATGATATTGATTTGGCTCTATCATGGACTGATTCGATTATACCTTTCTTAATACTTTTCTGATGATTTGATTGAAAGTACAGATATCTCTTAGTATAGGTCTTTTTACGATATACACTTGTTATTCGATTTCCCAATAAGAAAATCTAGAAATGACATAGATAGAACATGGTACTCACTATTGAAATCTGAAATTGAAAATGGTAAATTCAAGATCAATTAATGAAAACATCCTGTAACTCATTTGATTGCCAACGTCACCAATTATTATCACTGAGAACTGAAATGTTTCAGGACAAATACGAGTTTGCGATACAAATCATCCAAACTTTATGTTGAAAACGGGGGCAGATTCGTTCTCGAAACGTCCAATGCTGAGTAAAAATTTGATATATTTTTTATATACCTTCATTTCCCTTCTCCAAACTTTTTTCAGTACAAATTGTCACTGACAAGCTGGTGAATTTTTCTTTTAGGCTCTCTGATAGGGTAATTCTTTGAACGCAGTGACATTTTGGGGCAAATCATCTGATTTGTCCTCATACTACACGTATATTGAAATAATATTCATATTTCTATTTTATAGAAACGAGAAGAGGAAATCCCAAAAAATCTTGAATGATGAATGTTGAAAGTAACTTCTGATTTCAAGGACTTCACCATTTTATTAATAGCAAACTTAGCTAAATCAGCCATTGCTTCGATATGACTGAACAGGTAGCTAGAATAGTTGTTTCTTGTATACTTTTACACGATGAAGTATTTTTCGTAGCAACTTTAGTCCCTAAACGTGCTCTCTTGTTGAACCTTGAAATACCACAGAGATAAAAGTAATCTATCTTCCTGTACCCTTCCTTATCATGCCTGAATTTGAAAATTCCACAAAACCGAAAGATCTGGCGATAAGACTCAGTGAATCAGGTGACAATATCTCGACCCACCTGGGTACACAAATACCTGTCTAAAATTTCAAAACCTAAATCCTCTGACAAGGGACAGGTATGTACCTATAGGTATGACGTCTGATTCTTGAGCTGGGCAATATATCAAAACAACAGGGGGTTGAATAAACATGATGGAATCGTAGACCACCTGAAGGAACTAACATATTTAGGATGAGGAGGTCGGTTCTTTTGTTTTGTGGTCAAATGAGCTTATTGAAATCCTGGGGTCCTAGGATGCCAAGAGATTAAAGAATATTTATTCACCCTTTTGCTTCGTAGGCGACTCTTGAAAAAAATCCTTAGGGGTCATTATTGATGATGATGATGCAGATATAGTCAATATATAATTGTTGAAAAGGAATACTCCTAGATATATAAATAAAGGAATGAATTTAAAATTCGCATTCTCTATATGTGATGAAAATATTATTTCTTTTTCGGTATATTCAACAGAAAAATCTACTTTCCTGGCTATATATGCCACGACGAACATTGAACAGACACGATAACAATTTGAAAATAAAATCTTCTGAAGTTGAGATTTTGCACTCAACTTCAGATAAAAATGTGTATGCACATGATATCATTCTCAATATTCAACAGAAAACAATTACTTTCCTGGCTATTTGCTACGTCGAACATTGAATTATTATATCTGTTGGACATCGAGAAGGAGAATATGAAAATAAATATCTTCTGGAATTGAGAATTGACATTCTGTTTCAATTCGGATAAATAATATGATGTATAATGATATACAAAGGACCCCGCAAAGAAAAGTCTTTTCACGTCCTGTATAATGAATATCAATTTTTCATGCATCCAAGAATATAATTGTTCTTTGAAAAAAACTGAACATCCATGAATCCCTGGAAATGATATTTCATTATAGATAGGTACCGGTACCTACTATTTTTTGCTTCATTTCCGGAAACATTTTGTAACTAAATCCGATAGTGATTGAGATACTGTTTGAGACACCCTATTTATTTTTTCAGATTTACGACCGTGGTTATCGTTATCTGACAATTAAAACAAACTAACACGTGGTGTACTGCATATTTACGACTATTTAATGCTAGAATTGAATGTAAACGTTGCATCGAGCAGGTTCAACAACTTTTCGGCTATTAGAATTCTTGTTGCATTCTTGATCATTGAAAATAAAATTATTGTATAAGATGTAGATATCATGGACTTTTATTGAAAAAACATTTTTCATTGTTCCAGAACTGACGTATATCCGCGTATTTCTTTCAGTCCCACCAAAGTGACTAATTCAATACTTAGATTGTAGATTGTAGATTGTAGATGGGTCGTATAGGCTGGGAGACCTCTCGATCACTGCGACCTAGAAGATCTATTGTGATTACCCTTATCTAGTTTTGGTCCTCCCACCCTAGACTTCTGATGAAGCCTAGAATTTTCCTGACGGTTGAATTTTCCACCTCAGCAGGGGTGAGATAGACCTGTTCTAGGTGGTTCAGCCTTTGGCGGACTAATACTTCACATGAGCAAAGTATGTGTTCCGCGGTTTCAGTCGCATTGTTACAAAAGCGGCAAGTGTCAGTCTCCGCTAGGCCCATCTTTTTGAAGTGGTACCTCAGAGGGCCGTGTCCAGTGAGAAAGACTGTGATAAGCTTTAGATCTGGTTTGCTGAGGCTGAGTAGCTCTTTGGCTCGGTTCTGCGAATGGTTGATGAACCTTTTCGCTTGTCGTTGACCTGGAGTTGCTCTCCAGTAGGAGGACTTTTCATATTCATAATTCAATACTTAGAGATTGAAGTTAACTAACAAAAAATGAGGAATAAGAATTGCGGAGCGTACCTGAAAAAATAAAGTTGATGAGGTTCGCTTCAAACGAAAAGCAGAGAAGAATTCATTATGAATTCTTCTCTGCTCTCGTGAAAAAAGTGTGAAAGATAGGCAACACTTGGTGGAAGACGAAACAACAGAATAATGGAGTCAACAAACAGAAGCCAGCTTTTTCACCGTACTGATGAGGACGAAAAGCTCGGAACACGTGTCTGCGGTCAACATTTTTTGAGGGCTTTGTTCACTATTTCCTTCTCTGTTGTTTACAACATCTCCCTCAATCTTCATTTCATTATCTTATCTTAAAATATGATAGCAAATGGGATTACCCCTATGACGAATAATCTACTAGAAAACACCCCCAATATTGGTTTTTCAAATTGCACCCCCTTTTTTTTTTCGGTTCGTCAGTTTTCATTATCAAAAATATCGAATAATTTCAATGAATTTCATGAACATGGGGGTGCAATTTATCATCATCATCATCATCTTTATTATTCCCAAGAAACAATTGGCAATTCATTGTAAAGTAATAATCCATTGTAATATAATCTCTTGCCAAATTCAGATTCGATTTTAATGAGGGAAACATGTCTCTTTGTCTAGTAGAATGCTCGGTTGAATGTGAATGTATATTAGCATTAAATTCCAAAATTCAAATTGGAATGTTTATAATTGTGTTCGACTGAATGAATGAATGAATGAAAATTCCGAATACTTTCGGAGATATCCGAAAAAAATCGAAATTCCATAAAATCGTTTTTATTTTTTTCTTGCGTTATTAGAAGAAATTAATCGATATGAATAACACTTTATCATGGCCATTTTTTCTTCCCTACAACATGGCGTTATCAAATTTGAAATCTGACGTTTCGTCTTCCAGAAACCATCATCAACTTACCTACTTTTTCTAAATACGGACCTGGATTTTTTTTTTCATTTTTTGTTACCTTCTAGATAGTCCAAAAACTATAAGCTATCACAAATTTCTATTTTCAAATGTTTCAATGACTAAAATTCACAGTTTCTCTATTTTTTCAAAATATTTAATCCGAAACTATTTTTGAAACATTATTATTCGAGTTATTATTCATCAGTAATATAACTAAGGGTAAAAAATATGTGAACTATGTAACTAAATTGTAATAAGAACAAAATGAAATTCTAAAGTAAATGCTCGAATAGTCCCACTTGCACCTCTTGGCATTTTCGTATGCGTCTTCGCAAATTGCCAGTAAGCGCGCACTGGATCATTCTTCTTCTACCTCGTAGGGTTGTTATTTCAAACATTGAATTTTGTCGTAAAATATTTATGTCCCGTGGAATATCTTTAAATGAACGGTTTTTCAAATATCCCCATAAAAAGTAATCCAGCGGGGATAAATCGGGGCTTCTTGCAGGCCAGCGCCACTTAGATACTGAGTAACGGCCCTTCCATTGTGGGGTGGTGCGCCATCCTGTTGCCACCATAGTTGCTGGAGTATATTTAACGGCTCGTCTTCAAGAGCATCTGAATTTTGGATGAAATGAAGGTACCGATCACTATTTAAATTCCCATCATAAATAATTGGCCCCAAGATTCTGTTTCGATACAGCCTCACCCAGACATTGAATGATGCCCGTCCCTGCCTTCGTACTTGCTGATTTTGGTGCGGATTTTCCACTGCATAATAATGCTCATTATTTCTGTTGAAAACACCGCTCGTAGAAAAATTGCATTCATCAGTCCAGATAATGTTGCAATTTTCTATCAAGCCAATTGCAGAATTCTAGCCTTCTTTCATTATCTCCTGGTCTTAGTTCTTGGCTGACATGTAATTTATAAGGATGATACCTATGATTTTTGAGAATCTTCTGAATTCGGCTTCTAGGCATATTCAATTCTAGAGCAAATAGTCGTGTGGAACCTCGGGGATTTTCCGTAACCTTCAAAATTTCTCGATCAAATTTATCGCAAATATAAATTATTTCTTTTCGAAACTTACCGCATTTATAACAGCTCCTTCATCTTCAGCTCCAAATCTTCCGCCATACGCATTTCGGGGCTTACTAAAACTACCATACAGATTCAAATTCTTTGCCAAATTATTGAAATACGTATAATGCGGTTGTGGTCGTTCGGGGTATTGCTGTAAATATCTCTCACATGAAATTTGCGAGTTTCTATTAGCACTATAATAAATTCGGACCATATCACGTTTTTCTGAATTGGAAAACACCATTTTTGATCGCGCAAATTATTCAAAACCTTGAACTGTCAAACTTCGACGAGTGGTTGTAACTTTTCATCTCTAAAAGCATAGCCGCCTTTTCCATTTTCGGTAATTGCATTGAATATTTGGAAAAAATAAAGAAACTGTGAATTTTAGTCATTGAAACATTTGAAAATCGAAATTTGTGATAGCTCATAGTTTTTGGGCTATCTGAAGGTAACAAAAAATGAAATAAAAAATCCAGGTCCGTATTTAAAAAAAGTAAGTTGATGATGGTTTCTGGAAGACGAAACGTCAGATTTCAAATTTGAAAACGCCATGTTGTAGGGAAGAAAAAGTGGCCTTGATAAAGTGTTATTCAAATTGATTAATTTCTTCAAATAACGCCAGAAAAAAATAAAAACGATTTTATGGAATTTCAATTTTTTTCGGATATCTCCGAAAGTATTTGGAATTTTCCAAGTTTCAGAACGGCATTTTGTTAGGCACAAAATTGCGCAACTTTGCCATAATTTAACCGACCCTGTATCTCTCACGGTTCACGAGATCCCAATGATGAGGCTCGAATTCCAGCCACCCTGTACACGCCCATTCAGTCACTGAGTCGTGAAGTGAGTAGTTATGAATGGCAGATTTTCAGACAGAACATTCATAAAAATCTGAAAAAATTTAAATTAAATCAGAAGCATAAGAAGCATCAGTGTGGAGATTTGAGAATAAAAGATGAAGAAAAAAATCAGCTCACCAGTCAATTTTCCGAAGCGACCAGTCGCCTTGCGATATTTTCGTAAATTATTACCATCTACCTATATACCCATAAGATCGTATCTCGAACCATGGACCTACCATAAATCTTGCCAGTCACTGTTGGCCCGCTCCCAAATAGGGACATTCTTCTCGTGCACGGAATAAACTCAAGAGTTAAAAGATGTCAACATTGAAGAAAAAAAAAAGGTTCCGCTGTCAAGTGGTCTTCGACCAAATCCAAGTCGTATTTGCATAAGAATGCAACTGTATATTCAGTTTTGTTTATTTCTTCATGTCTGGCTTTGCTCCACACGTTGAATTTGTTTACTTATTATGTTTATTTATAACATTGTGGTGGTGTCTACTATTTGCATTCCCATTCTGATTATACTGTAAAATGTCTGAAATATTAGATCACATCCAGAGCTATGGTTTTGGAAACCACTTCTGATTTTCAATGTTCATCACAGTTGGAAAACTGTTGTTTTCAACATGATATTTTCAAGAAAAAAGTCCTTTCTCTGAATTTGTTATCACTGAATAGGGTTCAGGTTATCGTATAGTTGTTTACTTTAGTAACGATTGTTTCTGATTCGACTGTCGACCTAATTATTTTATCAATTCGAATTATATGCCTCAATAAACGTTTATAACGTTTTATTTTTCAAAATTCTCCATGATTCTGAAACTCAAGAAATATTTATCGTTAATTGTGGAAACCTCACCGTAACATTGCCGTATTTTTTAATTTCTAGGTATATTGCTCATATGAAACAATGATAAGTTGATATCCCGCTGAAATTATGAAATTTTAATGGGGTAGACCACTGATTTTTTAAAATGACATTATCGTAAACTCTATTCTGAAAAACTACCAGCGAATTAATTTTGAATTTTGTCATTCATGCTAAGACGATGGAAAAAATAAATTAGAATATGCCCATTTCAAAACACACAATTCCTGCGCCTATTGTCCTTGAACTGACCAATCACACTGCAACACTGCAGAATAACGAGGTATCAAAGAGAGATAGCTACAGTTCGGGACTAATACGTCACGACTCCACCATCATATTTGGCTGTTTGAAATATCGAATGAAATATGCTGATTTCAAAACGATATAGATTCGATTTTAACTCATAATATTGATTGTACATCAAACGTAAATCATGATTCGTCGATTGAAAGAGGTTTGCACGGATTTCTTCTCTCAGTGGTCTTCCCCATTTTCCACACATGCCAGACCCTCGTAAATGAGGAATCATAGGAATGTATTTCATGTGTATTCATAAATGTTAATTCCTTTTAATTCTGAGCGCGGCGCCACTCTCTGGATACAAATTATTGCCACTATGGTAGTCCCTAACTTTTCAAGTTCATTTGTCTTTCTGAGTGAATGAAAAAATTAGTACTTATTTGTGAAGATCTAATCTATGTTCCTGTCGTCTCACTTTTTCAGAATTTGATTCAGTTTTTTCTGGAAGAAATCGCAAAATAACTTATTTTTTGATGATTTTCCCATTTTTTTAGGGAAAAACCGAATCAAATTTCGAAAAAATAAGACGACAGAAACATAGATAAGATCTTCACGAATATATTTTTTCAAAACTCAAAATGAAAAATGACACTAAAAAGTTAGGGACTACTAAACCCTTGCACCACTGCTTCATATCATAGTACAGCTTCCTCTTAAAATCAACATTTCCTTCTAGCTGTGAAATTCGCCCAGGGCCGGAGTACATCCTCCGCTCCTATACCTTCGACGACACCGGCAAATTCCAGCTGATCCAGCACCACTACTGGGACGACTCGTGCACATCGCCTCAGCTGAGCGTTATCGCCCACGGCAGAATCCAGCTCAGGGACTCGCTGGTGCAGCCCGGCGCAGCAAATGCAGTGCTCAGGGTGGGCAACGTGACCGTGGTGCCACAGGACGACAGCGCTGCCAAGGAGCTGGACAGGGTGGTGGCGATGGAGTGTCCAGGTAGGTATTTTCTATGGACTCATCAACATTTGCAACTATTATTGTACGGAAAATGTATCTTATAATTCATGTTTAATAAACACGCTTACATCAGCTTGGTATGTAGGTATGTTCGTAGGTTTGTAGGATTGTAGGCGATAGTGATTTTGATTTATAGATTATCGATAATCACAATGTATCGGTGTTATCAAAATTGTCCATATCATCGAAGTTATCGATATTATCGATAAATCGATTTTTTTTTTACAAATTATCGATATTATTGATATTGTCGATTTTTCACATACAGATAGGTATTTTGAATAAACTGGGAAAAACCTAACGAGGTGAACCTTGTAGTAAGGACAAAAAACAAATGTACATAGGTCAATAAATATTTAACAATTTCAAATTATCACAAGGGAAAAATTGTCTCATTAGGAAATGAGACATGTATTTGATTCATATATTATAGTGAACTGAGCATTTCATTCAATTCGCATGATTATATATATTCATATTTACTCATTCACAATCATTATTTAGATTTTTCAAATTATATTATTGAATGTTAATTAAAGACATAAAATCATTTTTAGGGAAGTCTAATATCCAGTTTTTTATTTTTATCGTATAGGATTGTAGTGATTTTGTTTTACTGATATTATGTGGAATATTATTATATAGGTAAGGAATTGAAAATCTATGATTTCTACGTCCAATTGACTCGTTTGTTTTATATTTCAATGTTATGATATTTTATTTCTTATGTCATAGATATGTTCTATGAACTGAATGTCCTTTTTATTTTTGGAAATATGAATCAGCAAATTGTATATTATATAAAGTTGAATAATATCCATTCTCTTAGATTCCTTATATAAAATTTCAGTTAATCTTTTCCATATTTAATTTTCAAAATCCATTTTTGTGTAATTTCCAATTTCCTCAAATATATCTGCTTCACTCCACCCCATCCTAATATCCTATAAACTAATTGAGATTGAACTAAAGCATAATATTTCATTTCTAAATTACGAGTTTTCAATAAGTTTTTCAAATGTTGAAATTTAGGAATGAAGCATGTTATTTTCTTAGTGACATAATCAATATGATGATCCCATTTCAGATTATTGTACATCATTTTACCAAGGTATTTGATACAGTCAGTTTCCTGAATTTCAATTTCTCTATATATCTCGATAGTGCATAAATTTGGTTGAGAATTTTTATAGGAAGTGAATGTCATATATTTTGTTTTTTCAAAATTAATTGTTGATGAATTCTGTTCGAACCATTCTTCAATAATAGGTAAATCATTGATTACTTTGTTTTTCGTTTCACACCAATTTTTTGCAGAGTAAAAGATAACAGTATCATTTGCGAAATACTGTATAGTACTGTAGGTAGCGCTTCTTCTGAAGGGATGTTTACACTGACAGAATAAATATATGACGCCTAATCCTAATAAATAATCGAAATTTTATGATGTAGACATCTTCCCATGAAGAAAAATTCAACCGTTACGCCACCTCGTAAGTCATAATATTTGGCAAGTGTAATATTACCTCCGATATCAACCAATGAAAGCGAATGTCAACGCTTCCCTATGACTTCATATGCTGCCTTCTTAGTTGGCATGAACTATAGGAGTGGGCGATTGCAATTAACAACCAACAAATATTTCGAAAATTGATGAAAAATCATCGAAAATGATATCGATAATTATCGATGTTATCGATTTTATCAAAGTCAAGCAATAATTAGAAATGTTTATCTGGGGATTCAAAAAACTCAAATTCAAGAATGATTGTTTGAGAAATGTACGGCAGAATATGCCTTACTGAACTATGTTCTCAAGCCTCATGTTGACTCCTAGGAGTCGAAACATGTAGTATTTATTATGAAAAATATTAGGAGTCAGACTTTGAGTATTTCTCTTGATGAATTCTTCAATAGGTTCTCATGCATAGAGATATAGTGAGCAGGCGAGTTTCCACTGATACATGTTTCCTATCACTTTCAGGTCGCTATTGGAAACCATGGCGTCGCTACGAAGAACACACTATATACGACAGCCGCTACGACGAGAAGAGACGCTTCACCAATCTGTGGGCCTCTTCCTACGACCAAATCAACCAGCACCCTGGCAACCCCAAACTCGACAACCCCTACTTCAGCGACATAACCTGTCTGGGATCTCTGAAGTGGGCATTCAACGAGCTGAAACTCCTCAAAATTCAGCTGCGACCGATTCTGGACGATCTCAAAAGAAAGCCCATGCCCATGAAAATGGAACTGTTGTTAGGAGACATACACTCCAATTTCAAGCTGAGGGAGTACTACAATCCAACAAGTTTTCAGGTACCATCAATCAATCAATCTATTGTTATTCATTTTTAGTCCATATGCAATATGATACATTGATTCTGATGAAGGTAATGGACAGCCCTAGTTTCGAGTGATCGAGTACAGTTGTAATGAATAATACATGTTTCGTTTACCAAACTGCTCGCTTACAATGCATGATACCTACATTCTCCCCTTCTTACTCCAATTTCGCACGATGATACAGAAACATGATGAGGATTTCCTTTCGAAAGATAAGAGAACAAAATCATAATTCATTACTTTTAAATGTCCATAAACTTTTTAAAGAAGAGTTGACAGTAGTTTATGATTTTGCATCATCAGTAATGGTACGGTATAATAAAACCAGAGAGAGGTAGCTCTAGTTCTCTACTCACCTGTTTGGAATTGATTATGTGACAGGTGCAAATCAAGGTGTTATTATCTGAGATCATATTTCAGTATAATTGAGGTCGTCATGAACATATGGACTGTGATTGTTCATCGCTCACCTAATCAAGAATCCGAAAACAACTCAACCGCGATAATGCGAGCACAATATTGTCAAATGTAAAAGCACAAGCACTTTGTTCATGGAATCAATTCCATTTCCTAACGAAACGAATTTGCTAATCAGTGATTGGTTCTAGGTATATACGTATTTATAATCAATACGGATAATCTCTATCTGTTTCCATAGCGAAACATGAAGCCGATTTTTGAAGACAAATGACTATCCATAAGGAAAAGTTTTGAAACGATCAGACACATACTGCTTTGATTGAAAGGCTAGTAAACGTCATTGTCCACCGAAACGCATGTCTTCGATGACTACTATAATAGCGCATGGCGCATGCGTATCATGCCACCAAATCCTTATGGATATTCATTTGTTTCATAATTTTGGCTTCATCCTGGCACCCGTTATGATCCGTATTGTTTATTAATAGTATATGGTTCTAGGTCGAGCAATTTCGTCTACTGTCAATTTTTCGAGTGAAATCAGGTACTGATGGAAAATTTTTGAGTTAGTGAGGCAATTTATCCAATGAGAAAAAAGTCGTTTTGAAAGATAAATCAACAACAGTATTTGAGTGAACATCAATAATAATCAACTCCAATAACAATTTCGTGTTTCTTGTAGTTTGCAGAATTGATTTTCATATATTTTTTTGTAATTTCTTCGGACGAAATTTCACGAAAACTGCTCTTCCTGCGTATTTTCATGTGAATACACAATGATCACACTTGATACGACAGAATTTGAAGTGACGTCAAATAGTGTTTTCTATGGAGAAGTTGATTTATCAACAGTAAAAATACAAGAGCTTTTTTAACGAATGAATTTCTCTTCCTAACGAAAAAAATTGCCAATCAGTAGTTTTTCGAGAAAAACTGACATGAAAATATTGCGATACCGTATGTCGAGCAATTTTGTCTAATGTCAGTTTTTTGAAAGAAATTACCCATGAAAAATGTTTGGGTTAGTAAAATGAAGTTTATCCAATTGAAAAAAATCAACGACAATATATGTATAATTGAACAACAATAATAACTCCTTAAATTGATGAATTTTCTGTGGTTTCTCCAGGCTAAATTTTCCTAAAACGTCTCATCTTGCTAATTCATGCGTGAAAAATACTCAACAATCAAAAATGGAACGACAAAAATTCGAATGACAGGCGCATGCTAGATGAAATATGGTTTTGAGGAACAGGCATTTTCACTGCGATAAAAAAGGTACATCCTTTTTTATCGATGCCAAAATGACTCACATCAAATAGCATTTTTTGTGGAGGAATTGATTTGTCACCTATATTTACACGAGCTATTTTTGGCGAAGTGAACTTGACATCTCATTGAGAGTTTTGTTGCTTGCAGATTAAAGTCAGAATAAATGCCTTCGGAAAAATTACCAGCCTGTAGAACGAGTTATGCCATTTTTGCAGTTCTTTTTTTAGTCTAATCTCCTAAAAGCGACAAAAGTCGAATTGATAAATGTTAAGTTTACTTTGACCAAAAAAAAGGTTGTGTGTAATTACTCGGAAGACAATTTAATGAATATGTGATTTTTCAATTTCTACACTCGAAGACTTTCCGAATCGCGACATTTCCACAGATTAGATAGTTTTCTGACAACGATTCGTTTACAATTCAGATTTTCATGGTTTCAAATGTTACGTTCCATTTTTTGTCGCTGGAAAATCTGAGGACAACGTTTTTTTTGTCATTATAATAGCAACGAAACTTTGCCCTAAGTATTCCAGCGACAAAACGGAACCTAACATTTGAAACTATGACAATCAGATTTGTGAGCGAATCTTGATGTCGCTCATGTGAATTTTTCTCAATCTTGCGTTGTCACAAAATTATGTGGAATGTCGCCATTTGGACAGTCTACGAGTAGGGAAATTGGAAAAACCATCAACAATAGTGTGATGTAAGTATGCATTCCATTTTCTTACCGAATAACACTCCAGCAGATTTTCTAGATCGAAGTAAACTCGAAATTTATAATTCGAGTTTTGTTGCCTTTAGGGAATTCAACCCAAAAAAATGCCAGATAAAATATCAAGTTTACTTGTTTACTTCGACAAATAAAAGTTGTATTGGTACAATGTTACTCGGATATATCGATGACTCTTCAAGAGTCAATTTTTGGGAATGTTGTCATGATATCATGAACATACCAGGACAATAAATCGTCCAAAACTCTCCAGAAATTGTAAATGAATCAATTAATTGTTCCAGGTACCGCTAATCAAACGAGTCAAAGACGACGTCGTCTTCATCAACCGCCACTCTTTCCGCATCAAAAACCCCAACACCATCCCAGCCAGCATCTTCACCACAGGCAGAGCCCCTCCGCACCTCATAGAGAAGCCCCACCTGCCCCCCTACGTCTGGGGCGAATGGACCTCCACCAGGTGCGAGGTGAGACCCATGGGGCTCTACCTCACCAGGCGATTCTCCTTTTTCTCCGAAGACTCTACTTGGATAGGCGACCACAAGTTTTACTCCGATCCTTTCTGCAAGATACCGAAATTCATTGTGACAGCTGCTGGGCACTTCGCTTTGGTAGGACCCAACAAGGTAATTATCGACCAATATCATTATTATCTAGTTTGGCGATGGCAGACATTCGAAAAAATTCTGTAAACGCGGATCAACAGCTATCTCAATAAATCCAATATTTTGTCGAATAAACAATTTGGTCTTAGAGAAAATATATCAACGGAAAAGCATCAAGAGCAGCCTCTGTTCAATTTTGAATTATTAAACGCGTTGATGAAATATGTACGACATTGTGTTCGTTCATCAATTTGAAGAAAACGTTCGGCACGGTATGTCATCAACAACTACTCCATATGTTTGAAAACATTGGATGCAGAGATAAAAAACAAATAGAGCAGATAAATATCAGTTTCAGCACCACTAGAGATATTGTTTATGGAGTTCCTCAAGGAACCGTCCTGGAGCCCCTCTTATTCATCATCTACATAAATGATCTATCACAACTTGATTTGAGGGAGATGAAGTAAGTTTTGCTGATGACACTGCGGTAATTCATAATACTGATAATTGTGAAACCATAAGAAACTCAAAATTGTTTAACAATCGTCTTCTAACTGTGAACTATTGCAAGACAAACTTCATCTCCTTCACATCTCACTCGCGATACCTACAATATGACTCGCTTACTATTCAAAATATTGGGACCTTAACCTCAATCTATGAAGTGTTGGATATACATTGAGAGCCACATGAAATGATATTCAGATCAATACCGTCACTAAGAAAGTCAGATTCATAGTATGATAATTCAAATATTTGAAAAAAATACTCACCTTGGATTAAATGAAAATATTTGCTATATCTTAATGAGCCACATAAAATAATATGGATAAATAGTATAGCGAGCTACTGCTATCTGATACTTTGAGATGTTGAGTCAAATGACAAATATTTTTTATGGCAGTCTGTAGACAACATGAATATAAGAACGATCTGACCTACACACTATAACACACGAAACAAGTGTAATCAAATCATAATTCCAAGACCTGACCACTAAAAACATCTTATCTGTAATTGGTGCCAAAAATATACAGGGTGATCCACGGTGGATGGCCTATTAGAAGTATCTGAGGAACGAAAAGACAGAATATTCTGAAAATTGGAATGCTTCGATAATTAAACATTTTCTATCCGTCTAAAATATTTTCATCGATACAGTGTTGCCACATCTATCAGAAACAACTAGCAACTTCGTTATTTTAAAAGGAGCACTCTGTATTTTATTGCATTTTAGATCCTTCCTAGAGAGCTGATTTCATCAATGTACCTACCACACTTAGGGTATAGCAGGTATGATTACAGAGATATAGGGTGTTCAAAATCGAGATTTTTTTTTGTCGAAACTATTCATTATCAGAATTCTGAATCTTGAAGCACCCTGTATTTTTTCCAATTAAATTCCAGTAGATAGTGGATCGAAAGTTGAGATACGAACATGTAAGCCGTTTTGACCGATGATGAATGTGTTCGACAAAAAAAATCCTAAAATTGAAAAATCTCGATTTTGAACACCTTATATCTCTGTAATCATCCCTGCTAGACATTGATGCAATCAGCTCTTCAGGGGGAATCTAAAAATGCCATAAAATACAGGTTGTTTAACAAAGTTGCTAGTTGTTGCTGATAGAAGTGGCAACACTGTATCGATGAAAATATTTCAGAGGGATAGAGAATGTTCAATTATCAAAGCGTTCCAATTCTCAGAATGTTCTGTCTTTTCGTTTTCCAGACTCTTCCAATAGGCCATCCACCGTGGATCACCCTGTATACTATGATATCCGATGAATATGAAAATACCTTAGAAATCCATACATTCAACTTCAGAATCACGATGTGGTTATTGAAAATTCCTTGCACACAAATACATGAATATCTAGATCACAACAATTTCTACTGTTTCTACAATGTCCTCATCACTTTTCGAGATTTTTCTTTCTATCGCTTTCAAAGATTGCTTTTAACATTAATGTTTGTGTACCCATATTTTCTATGATTTTTCATCACAAGTTGGAGATTTATATTCGAAATTATTGTATTTATATTTTTATGTGAAAATAAACGTTATTATTTTTATTATTATCAAGGAGATGAAGGGCACGACTGACATAGACTTCCATATCGAGAGAGCTAGTCTGACGGTGTTAGACCAGAGGATGATCCACGACATGAGGCTTCAAGGGCTCTGCGGGCTGGACCAATGGAAAGTCAATGTTCCTAAAGAATTAAGCTCAACCAATGGTTGTGCTCCGCTTGGCATCAGCCTTCCTTCTGTTCTGAAAGACGTGGTGAAGCTGGAGATGGACTACAGAGGTTCTTGTATGTTGTTTTTGGGGCAAGTTGATACTGACGGGTTGCCTTCCGCTTCTAACGAGAGGCCTTCGGCTTTCCAGCTGCCTCTTGTTAGGTGTGGAGATGTTGCTACATACTCGCAGAGTTTGAGGGATATTTTGAATAAAGATATTTACCACAATGGTGTGGCGAAAAGTATGTTTTCTTTGTGTTCGATCATTTTATTGATGACGCTGAGTTTTTTCAGGTGATACGCCTACTTAGATTTTTGTATGAATTGTAAATATTGTAAATTTTGTATGTAGGATAGCCATGTTTCGGTTTCAGGGACAACATAACCAGTGATTTTATGTATATATGAATGAGTTATATATTAAGTTCTGTATTATGATGTATATCTGTAACAATTAATGTATATGATGATATTTTCAGACTAAATGTACATATAATTTTTATCGAACAAGAAAGTTGTTTGTTCATCTGTGTCAAATTCATTTTTAAATTATATTCAATGAGAAAAGCACGAATTTTTACTTTGAAAACATCAAATGAGGAACATATATGTTTCGGCCATATGCAATGTCTTGTTGTCCCTAATTTGATGTTTTCAAATTAAAAAGTCGTGGAGATACTTTGTGCTTTTCTCATTGAATATGAAACCTATTACTCCACAATGAACTTCTACCAATCTTTTTAAAATGTTAGGCTTGCATACTCAATGAAACAGGAATTCATTATGACCTTTTATTTCCAAAACAACTTGGATTTATATTATTTATTCCATCAGCCATTTCAACCATACGACTATAGGTTTTATGTGCAGAATGTGCAATAATTTGTTTTAGATTCAATTTCTGTGGGAGGTGTTATCATTTTGTAGTGATCCATAATGATTTCATCATTTAGCTATGAGTGCAACATATGAATATATGGCCTTATAGATCTGCAACAAATATAGGAATATATTTTCAATCAACTAATCACATGCTCTTTCCTTTCAACAGTTTTGTTCAATCTTACACTATTACTTGAAGAATAGCTAATTTATTTTGAGAAAAAATCTGCATGTCGGAAGATAAATAATGTTCATTTAAAGTAATGATTTCCTCTTTTATACAAGGTGTTTGAATGTATTGTATTGTCAATACCTATACAGGGTGTCCCGAAATTAGCCTGCCAAACTCCACCAGCGGCTTTTACTACCAAAAATAGAAAGAAAACTTTCAGTGAACATGAGTCGAGTATTGAGCTATGGCCCCCCGAAAGGGGGCTCCTGAAGATGATATTTCTTGAGTATTTCCGAAACTCTATGTGATAAAAAGATATAATTTGGTAAAAGATCTAAACTTTCTATGCCCAATGCAGTGAAAATAAAATAATTTCAAAATATCAATCAGGAGTGTATAATACAGGGTGGGACTACATTATACAGGGTGTCCGCTAAAAGGAGGTCAATCCATCAACCACATATTCCTTGAACAAAAACAATATGAGTTTCTGAATACCATTTTTCATTTTAGCCCTTCATATTCGATATACAGGGTGTCAAAGTTGGAAATTAAAAACAGTTTTTTTCTAATTACTCGCGTATTTGATAAGATATTGATCTCAAAATTGGTACATTACTTCAGCACAAAGAGTTACATCGTGTGAGGAAAACATAACAGAAAAAAACAGTCAAATATTCAAAATACTGGGGGTCAAGTACACACTTACCCCCATATTTTTTTTGTACGTGTGCTAATGACTTCCTATCTATTTTCCTTCAAGTGTTCAATCATATTCGAGTATTTTTTGTGTCTTGTGAAATTTCGATTGAATCATTTGTTTTTAAGATAATTCGAAAAGTACTGTTTGTTTGATGCCTATGTGGCTTACGGTAATCTCATAATGTTCACATACTCCTATTTATTTCGTCGAAATTGGAAGAAGACGTGTTTTTTTACGTACGAAAAGGTGAATATGGAAATACCGGGTGCTCAGAGCAAATGTACTAAAATAATTTTTACAAAAAAAAAAATGTGTAAAAATTATTTTAATACATTCGCTCTGAGCACCCGGTATTTCCATATTTACCTTTCCGTACGTAATAAGATACGCCCTCTTCCAATTTACGAAATAAATAGGAGTATGTGAACATTATGAGATTACCGTAAGCCGCGAGGCATCAAACAATAACCAGTACTTTTCGAATTATCTTAAAAACAAATAATTTCATCGGAATTTTACATAAATCAAAAAATACTCGAAAATGATTGAACACTTGAAGAAAAATAGATAGGAAGTCATTAGCGCACGTACAAAAAAAATATGAGGGTAGGTGTGTACTTGACCCCCAGTATTTTGAATATTTGACAGTTATTTTCTGTTTTGTTTTCCTCACACGATGTAACTCTTCATGCTGAAGTAATGTACCAATTTCGAGATTAATATCTTATTAATTACGCGAGTAATTAGAAAAAAACAGTTTTTAATTTCCAACTTTGACACCCTGTATATCGAATAAGAAGGGCTAAAATGAAAAATGGTAGTTAGAAACTCATACTGTCTGTAGGTTAATCGAGGAGGTGGTACATTCATTTTACTTGGTTCTTTGGGATTTTCTCTCCTCGTTTCTATAAAATAAAAGTATTCGTATTATTTCAATATATTTGTAGAGGGACAAATCAGATGATTTGCCCCAAAATATATTGAAATAATACGAATACTTTTATTTTATAGAAACGAGGAGAGAAAATCCCAAAGAATCGAGTAAAATAGAAACTCATATTATTTTTGTTCAAGGAATATATGGTTAATGGATTGACCTCCTTTTAGCGGACACCCTGTATATATTGCTGAACATTTTTTGTATGCATCTTTCTCGACAATTTGATCTCGAATTATGAAATTTCACACCTCTTTACAGAAAAAAGGTACTTTGTGTTCCGTGACGATCAGATGTATTATTATCAAGTGAAAGCAATTCAAAAATATAGTTACATCTTAGATATTATGCATAACATTGCAATGAGGCGTACTGGAAATGGAAAAAAATGCACAAAAATTGAAGTAGTTTTTTCATCATCATTTTTCTATTTTTCGCGCTTATATGAGATTGTTTGGTAAAAAGAAAGTACTTGATTTTTTTTATAGCCACTCTGATTTGAAAATTGGTGACGTTATGCATAAGATGTGATTGCATCAATATTTTCAAATCGATTTCACTCAAGAATGATACATCTGATCGATGCAGAACCAGAGCACTTTTCTTGTGAAATGGTGTTGATTTTCATAATTCGAGATTGAATTGTCAAAGAAACTTTGAGCAATATTTAATGTAGTCCCACACTGTATTTTACACTCCTGAATGAAATTCTGGACTGATTTTATATTCATCGCGTTGGGCATGGAATGTTTGGTTCTTGTACCAAATTGTATCATTTTATCACATGGCATTTCGGAACTTTTCGAGAAATATCATCATGTTCATTGGAACTTTTCTTGCCATTTTTGAGTGGAAGAATACGCTGGTGGAGTTTGGCAGGCAAATTTCGGGACACCCTGTATATTTCAGAAATACAATGAAGGAGCTTATTTTGAGATATGAAGTAGATGTCAATGTATAGAATAGAATAGTTTTATTGGTGTCTTTGAAGATGTCTTTCATTTACACATGTCAAATATTAAATATAATGTTTGAATATCTTGAACAAGTTTTCTCATTTCTTAGACTACCTTCCCACTCCACTGAGAATACATCATCCTCAAATTATCACTTTATCATCTGACAATAAAAATATCACAGATAATTTTGATCAAGTGAATCTCTATACTATTTATTAACAAATTAAAAAAACACTCATATATTCTGTGCATAACTCTTATAATGGTTTCAGAAGATACACATACATATTTTTTTTACTGAATGTGTTCATCCATGTTCATCTATAGATCTCTGAAATTATTTCAGTACATTTTCAGACACCATATGTTTCTTCACAACTTTTCAGTTCTATACTTACTGACACGATGGAGTCAGCTCTTGCGTCATAGAATGGTCCAATTGAAAGTGATAAGGGCTTTTGTGCTCTCATCATCACTATCAATAATGACTTTTGTACCGGCAATTCAAGCTCGTACCAGTCACTTTCGAATACTGCATCTGATATTCCAGTACTCTGCAATTTATCATCATACAAATTCATGAAATGCACAAATTTCATCATGAAATGGGAGAATTTCAAAGAAGAATTGCAATATTCAGCTTTTCTTCCGCAGCTTTATATAGATCATCTTGTATGTGACCTCGAAACTCACCTGATCTATGATCTCATGAGCATGCCAGTAGAACAAGATAATCTGAAGGACAAGAGTCACCAAAGACCATATGATTGTGAAGCTTCTAACAACATCATTTCCCTAGAAATTCATAATTTGTTGAGAAATAGTATAATTTGTTGAGAAATAGTATAATTTGTTGAGAAATAGTATAATTTGTTGAGAAATAGTATATTTTTAGAGAGCTATGGGAAATGAAATTCAATATGGAAAGATACCACAACGAATTAAGTCATATAGTCTTATCAGATGCACACTCACGTTTAAACCTAACCTTTAAACCTAGAGAATGAAATTTATTTTATACAACATAATACTTACTCCTATCATTATCACCATTGATACTAACATAGCTGATTGCAAAGAGCAGGTACAAAAATCAATCAACACAAACGTCTTTATGCTGCTGTTCAGACTGCTGATTGATCTGAAGAGAAAAGTACTTTATGAAAATAATGAGGATGAAATTTCGAAATACTCCACTCCTCTAGTTGAAGAAGTCAGAGTTTTGCTTGCACTTCTCCTACTACTACTATTTGAATTCAAAATTTGGCCAATTGGTTGAAGTGTTCACTGCACAAAGTGATTCTGAGAACGTTCTTAGAATATCAATTCCTGTGAAACATTTCGAATATACCCAGAATGTTCTTAGAAAGTGCATTGAACTTTCTGAGAATATTGTAGGAACATGCAAATTCGTAGTAGCATCAGAATATTCTGAGAACGTCCTCATAATCTACTTACCAACATCGTCAGGATGATTTAGAAATATTCTCAGCTTACAGGGTATCTGGAAGCGCAAGGAATATTTTGAATAATCAATGAAAAACTATTTTTCATGAAAAAATTGACTCCCTGTAGCTCAAAAAACAGAAGTATTCGAATAATATATTCTACCTGGAATACTAGAACAATACATTCAATGATCAGTCCTGATAATATTAATAGAAAATAATGGAATATTCTAGGAACGTTCCTAGGATATTTAGTTGAAATGTTCTATGAATATTTCCGTAAAACATTCTATGAACATTTAGAACGTCCTCATTATATTCTATGGATATTATTTGGAATATTCTGAAGGATGTATGCTGTGAACGTTGTGAGAACATTCAAAGAATATTCTGTTCTGTCTGGGATGAAGAAACGAGCGATTTATTGAAAATAAAATATTTGACCACAAAACTCACCGTATGATATTTTGATGCTGCTTTATACAAATCATGGCAAAATACCCCTGAGATTCTCTGAATGGAATCTGTTTTCTTTCAGAAAAATCCGATATATAGTGCGTGATATTTCTGAAAATATGTCTCACAATATGCAGCTGGCTCTTGAAAAATATCAATAAGCTGAAATATAATAATCCCTGGTAGACGAAATAGAAGTGTGCAAGCAACACTGTATAGAGCTGCATAAAATATGCTGTCCAGTAGTATTCATTTGCATCAAATGGAAACCAACATGTGAGAATCAGGTATCTCTTCTCAGGTTTCTCAATAACATTCACCAATTGACACATCGAAAAGAAAAATATGATCGTCAAAGTTCCTATAGTTAAATAGGAAACTACCAGTCTCTGACATGCTTTTGCATATTTCATGTAAATATTTCTGATTTCCTCATCATCAGTATCTTCTAAAATTTCTTTCTCTTTATCTTCCAAGCTTTTGATTATATCTCTAACAGGCTTGGATTTCGTAATCAAACATTTGTACACCAATGGCGAACAAAAGGCAACTTTCCATACTATATCTACTCTGTCAATGATGTTATCTTCCTCCCCTAAAAATAACTCTGCTGCTAGGAATCCGATGCTAACGATGAAATAGGCTAAAGCAGCGTAGGAATAGGCATTGTACAGTTTCAGCTTAAATCCTGTGGACTCGATTGGCCATAAGCCACATATCAGGAGAAGGATTCTCGTGTACTTCATATGAACACGTTCGAATTTTTCCTCTAGAAGAAAATTATTGAACTCTATTCATCAGGTACGCCACTGACTGAATTTCTAAACTATAATATCACTATAATATTCTTGTGATTTTCTTCAATGGATCAAAAGTAATTAGATCATGCCAAATGAACATGCCTCTAGATTTTCCGGGATTTTTATCTTCTTGTTTATATACGATATACGATCATCCTTATTCCAATATACAGGGTGAAATTTTAGAAACTTCTCACCCTCAATACCTTCCTTCCACTAAATAATATGAAAAATCGAGAAGACAGGTCAATTTATTTTCAAGGGAGGCACTTAAAATTGATATTTTCAGCCCTCTTGGTTCAACCCCCTATATAGGAGGGGTAGATTTTTCTCTTAAAATCTCAAATCAGAAGCGGGGTCAATTGGCACATCATTTTGAAGGGTGTTCAATTATCTTTCCAAGCCCAGGCA